CACTTGCCCTCAGAGTAACATACTGTACAATCTTAAAACTGTTAAACACTTTAGGGTTTAAAAGGGAATTGAGCTACAATAATGAAATAACACAGATTAATCTCACCTAAGACCACTTGGAACAAGGACATAGATTCATAGCCAAATCCTGCTTAGTTACATGGTAATATATTTGTCATCTAACGCTCTCTTCAAAGTCAGACATAGCAAACCACATTCAGTATACAACTTGGGCCTAAAGTGACCTGTCACTAATGCTGATTGGTAGAGAATGTGGGGACAACCGAGATCGCTCAGCACTGATTAAATCCTGACGATAATGACCGTGAAGCCATCACTCATCCATGTTCATCAAATACTGGCATGAGTCTTTTAAGTAATCTCAGCGGGGAACTATAGATGTAGATGTGAACAACATCAGCAATACTATAAAATGCACTGCAGGAAAACCCAAGCAATTTAAGTAATAAGTCTGCTGTGTTTATATGAACTGATGTGATAAGCTGTACAGGGTTTCCTTTACAAGACAGGTGACATGACTGCAGTCTTTTCTCCTTCTGTACAGATGGAGCAAAGGAAACGGCTCAGCAGATGCAAAGGGTTAGTGGACTAAATCAGGGACTTTGACCAGCTTTGGGAAATGAGTGTGCAAACAAATGACAGACTCATCCCTCTGCCCCTCTCCTCTTTTCTCTCCCTGATCTCTTGTTCTCCCCCCTGTCAGTGCTGATGCTCTCAATCTGTTACAGTGATTGCTTTGCACCATTATAATTTGCCTAAAATCAGCTATAATGCACCTCATAAATTTAATTTTGTCTCAAAAAGAGATTAGACTGTACGACAGGATGCACTTGTGCATCTGTGCATGCGTGCATTTTGTGTGTCTGTGTGTGCATACAGGATGTGCTTTCCAAGACCCTAAATCCCATAAGTGTGTGCTGAATACGTCAGAAGAGCACTCATGAGAAAAGAAAAACCCCAAATCCCTTGAAATACTGCCCATGGATGCAACCAATCATGAGAAAGCCAAGCACATGGTCATACAACATCAGCATGCTGGACACAAAACATGGACACACGCACATTCAAACAACGGTTGGAGGTAAATCAATACATATGACAGGATCTAGTTACAAAACAGCAACTGCTTTCCTAGTGAACAACTGCATCAAAAAATGATGTTGCATTATACTCTTCCATACTGTATGATAGATAAGGACTTATTATTCCTTGCTTTCATTGAGTTTCTGTACTGTGCAGAGTATTTTCAGAAGGGAGAAGACTCATTTAAACTAATTTTCATTTTAAATTTTTGCCTTCCCAAAGTTCTTGTGTTTTCTGCAGAAAGCAGATGCTGATAGTTTGCAATAAATAATGTCCTGTAGCACTTCAGATCAACTGTGTTGTTTATAAAGTGCTACAGAAATAAAACTGAATTGAACATTTTGAAATAGTAAGTGATAGTAAGGAGCAAAGGCATATGTATTGCTCAAAATGCACCTCCAAGTAAGTGCAAATTTTAATAAAAATAACAAAGCATAGTTAAACCACAGAGGGTTTGATCTGAAAACGGCACTTGTATAATCAAATTTGCACAGATGTGTGGGTTATTGTTTTAATCTGTTTTTATGTCAAAAATAAAGGCCAATAATTCAGGCCAATTCAATTAAAAACCAAAAATAATGATGTGATTATCTTAGGATTGTTCATTTTCACCCTTTCAAATATGAGCAAGCAAGTCATGTCCTGCCTTGCACTGACACACATAGTTCCCCATCTTAACCTCTCCTACACGCTCAGTGGCTTGACATTCTTCCCTGGAGAGAAAGCTTGGCAGGCCTTCTCACACAGACAGTCAGACAGACAGGTAGGGCTATTAAATATGTATTGCGGTACACTGATAGGACACTGTGGGCCATTAACCATTATAAATATATAATTTAGCTCTGCTGCCTATTTCAGCCTCCTGGACAAACGGCAACCTAGCGTACAAGCCCTCTGATAAGCATCCCGATGCTAAAATGCATCTCAATTAGACTGAGTGTCAGCCCTCATTTAGTGAGGCAGGGACCGAGATGGAATGGACCAATGTATAAATGAAAGAATGTCTGAATTAGCGCAATGCTGGAGGACAGAGGAAGTAGAGAGCCGAGGAGGGGTGATGTGTCGCTGACCAACATCATGCAGGTTTGCTGATTGAGTGTGGGGGCCTGATACTTTAATTACTTTTGCACTATTTAATAGCGACATGAGGCCAGTCTCTTTCTTTCTCTCACACACTCGTATATTTTGACTCTCCCCAAGCAATTGTTTTCTCTCAACAGCGCCATCCACCTTTTCTTTCCTCTCCATTTATCTGTATCAAATCCCTTGCTCCCTCTTTGTCAACCATCATTTGTCTCTTCCCCATTACTCTGTCATCCTTCTTCCTCGCCCAGTTACTGATCATTCTGCCCTTGCCTCTCCATTACTAATCCCATCTTTCCTCTTGTCTTCTTTTTTCCAAAAACCTCTTCCCCTCTTTTTTGTCTCCCTCTTTCACAAACTATTTCCTCTAGCTCTTTGTTGTCACCCTTTTCTGTCGTTTATCTCGTCTCTTTAGCCTTGCCGCTACCTTTACCTGACTCCATCTCTGTCATTGCTGCATTTAGAGTGTTTCATTTCATAATAAGACATGCAACATTTCAAAAATGGCATGGATTCATAATGTTTTATACACTAAAATGGAAACTAAAAGTAGTGTCCAAATATTTGCTGATATTTCAGAGTTTATTGTTTGCCAAAATTTATATATGGCATTTTGGTACAGTGTCTTATGTTCTTTTG